CCAAATTCACACTGGGAGCTGCTCTGGTGTACTGGTGCTGCATCTGCACTGCGGATGCTATGCATACAGACATACATTTTAGGAAGATCTGCTAAAGAATTCTGCAACTCTTGACTGGATCAGGATGTAACAAACTCTGAACTCCAGTTTAGTCTGAAGCAACCAGTTTAGATCTAGACTGGTGTCTGCTAGGTTTTTTATTCAGGGTATCCAGACAAAAGTAAACAGAGGAGGAGCCTACATTTTCATTGTTTATCAGAAATGTATCTCATTTGCTGTACATTCCTTTTTTAGGACATGTTATCTGTTTAAAAAAAAAAAAAAAGAAAAAAGAAAAGAAAAAAACAACAAAAAAGATAAAAAGCAAAAACAAATGTGTAGTGAAAATCTTCTGTAACTTTGGATTAAGAGGTAATTATGATCTTTTTAAAAAGAGAACTAAGTTATTTACTTTGTAAATGTGCTGATGGCATGGATCCATCTTACTGACCTCAGCATCTTTTTTTTTTTTTTTTTTTTTTTTTTTTTTTTTTTTTAAAGATTTTGGGTTTTGTTTCCAATATTAAGTTATTTTAAATTGTGGTTGAAGCAATAGAAAATTGAAATATGGATTGTGCATGACTGTGTCTTGAGTGTAAAAATATTGCAGTTTGAAACTTGGACCTAAAGTATTGCAAATAAAAGTTATAAATACCAGTGGAGAGTGTGAACTGCAGCCTTTCCTACGCTCTGTTGATACTTTCTGACAAAAAATGTCAGGGATGGAAAAAGATTACCAACCTCAATCATCTGCCCTTAGAAAGACTTCATCTGTTTGTCTGCGTGAAAAACTTTCAACTTTCACCTGTGCCACCAGAACATCATGTTATGAAGCAGGATTTACTTGTCTAAGCCTGTACTTACCCTCTCCTGCTAGAGCTTCTTGTGTCTGCAGCAGCTAACAGACTCTTTGCTGCTCTGGTCTGGATAAATGCACTGAGTGCTGCAACTTCTCAATGTGTTGTATGTCTGTTTGCTCTGTATTTATTAAAAAACAAACAAAACAAAACAAAACATCCCCTCCTCATGACTGTGGTGAGTTACAGAGATGGCAGTAGTGATTGTCTGCCCCTACGAGAACCTCGTTAGTCTTTTAAACTGCTTTATAAGCTCTTATACAGCTGCTCACATAAAGCTGTGGTAAGATCACCTGGCCAAGTGCTCAAGAGTTAAGCAACACCAAAATTAGATGTATATGGGCCACCATGGAAACACCACTCCTGTACTTGCTGTACTGTGCAGGGCTGTACTGCATCCAGTAAATGCTCTGTCTCAGAGGGGTTTTTTTGCTAGCAGTGGAGAAAGGTGGGAGGGGCAGGCTCCAGCCATGGGCACACTCCCCCAGACCTCAGCCTGGCTTCCCAGTGTCACCAACTTGTGTTTAACTCACACCAAGACACTGATCCTAGCTACCTGTTGCCACCAGGTCTGTGAAGGTGTGTACCAGCTCTGCTGAGTCTGCACTTACCTCCAGGCCCTCAAAGGTCTCCAGGTTTCTGGTCTCCAGAAACATTCAGCAAGCATCAAGGAATGGCAGTGGGTGCCATTTTTCCATAGGAGGAAATTCAATAACACACCTTTGCTTTATCTGTGTTTCCATGTCAGACGCCATGCTGTCAGACTGCCCCTCTGCTGCCATCTGTCACATAACAACAATATAACAGGATACTGGTGGGAAGATTCAGCCTTTACAGCTGTACTGCCAACATCTGCCTCTGACATTGCAGACCAGCATCACAAAAATAGGACGCATTGCTTTTGGAGCACTGTGTGAGTGTATAAATAAATAAAATACACGATATACTGGTTTTATAAATGCTCTGTATGTTATACAGTATATTTTCTATATATTGTACAAATGTGTACAGAAACCATTATGTTGCTGTGTAATACCCGTTTACAGAATCACAGATTCACCAAGGTTGGAAAAGACCTACAAGATCATCCAGTCCAACCCATCACCAATAGTTCTCACTACATCATGTCCCTCAACACAACGTCCAAACATTCCCTGAACACCTCCAGGGTTGGTGACTCCACCACCCCCCCTGGGCAGCCCATTCCAGTGCCTGACCGCTCTTTCAGAGAAGCAGTTTCCTAATGTCCAGCCTAAATCTCCCCTGATGCAGCTTGAAGCCATTCCCTCTAGTTCTATCACCAGTTACACGAGAGAAGAAGCCGACCCCCAGCTCACTACAACCTCCCTTCAGGTAGTTATAAGAGCAATGAGGTCTTCCCTGAGCCTTCTCCAGATTGAACAATCCCAGCTCCTTCAGCTGCTCCTTATAAGCCCTGTGCTCCAGACCCCTCACCAGTTTTGTTCCCCTTCTTTGAACCCACTCCAGAGCCTCAATGTTTTTCTTGCAGTGAGGGGCCCAAAACTGGACACAGTACTCGAGATGAGGCTTCACCAGAGCTCAGTACAGGAGGACAATCACTGCCCTGTTCCTGCTGGCAACACCGTTCCTGATGCCAGGTTGCCAATGGCCTTCTTGGCCACCTGGGCACACTGCTGGCCCATGTTCAGCCCAGCATCAATCGACACCCCCAGGTCCATTTCCTCTCTGCAGTCTTCCAGCCTCTCTGCCCCAAGCCTGTAGCATTGCCTGGCGTTGTTGTGGCCATAGTGCAGGACTCAGCATTTGGCCTTATTGAACCTTATCCCATTGGCTTCAGCCCAGCCATCGAGCCTGTCCAGATCCCTCTGCAGGCCTCGCTACCCCCAGGCAGATCCACACTTCCAGCCAACTTGGTGTCATCTGCGAACTTGCTGAGGGTGCACCTGATGCCCTCATCCAGGTCATCAATAAAGATACTGAAGCGGACAGGCCCCAGCACCAACCTCTGGGGAACACCACTGGTGACTGTCACCAGCTGGATTTAACTGCATTCACCACCACTCTTTGAGCCCTCCAGCCAGCTCCTCATCCAGCCAAGAATGCACCTGCCCAAGCCACGGGCTGCCAGCTTCTGCAGGATAATACTGTAGTTCCCTGAATCCTCCTTACAACTCTTCTTGTAGATGGGAGTCACATTGGCAAGCCTTTAGCCTTCTGGGACCTCACCAGTCAACAAGGAACGCTGATAGATAATGGAAATGCCCATCACCTCCACCAGTTCCCTCAGCACTCTCGGGTGAATCTCATCCAGCCCTATGCACTTGGAGCAGTCCAGTTTCCATCATACATGTATGTTTATGTATATATATATATATATATATACACACACACACATACAGATACACACAACTATAAATGACTGTATTTTGTGCATGTAATTAGATAGAACATAAATGTATATAAATTGCTAAAAAGATACATATAATGTGTTTGTGCAACTGTGTATATACACAGATGTATGAAGAGTGCATTTCTATATATACCCAATATATTTGAAGGTATCGAGCATATGCTATAGAGTTATATGCATAAATTATCATATATAGCATCCATATATACCACCCTCTCTCTGCAAAATGCTCCCTCTCTAGCCAACTACATATAATATAGTATTTAGCTTATACATTGTGTATATAAAGTCCCTTCTATAAATATGAATCACACTGTCTATACATATTTACAGTACATGATCTATAATATAAACTATATACTATACATACTTCATGTATGTGTATATATATGTATATGTACACTCACACAGAGCACCTCTCTGCTTATGCACACACAACACACATACATATACAGAAGTGTCCTCTTTCTCATACAGAGTCAAAGACTCATTCAGGCTGGAAAAGACCTCTGAGATCACTGAGTCCCAGTGCCTGCCTATCCTGACGTGCCACTAACCACATCTCTCAGTGCCATGCTGAGCCTTTTCTTGAACACCTCCTCGCTTGCTGACCCCACCACCTCCCTGCACAGCCTGTGCCAGTGCAGCACCACTCTTTCCAAGAAGCTTTTTCCTAAAACATGAACCTCCCTCAGTGCAAATTAATAGATGTATGTATTTTATATATGTGTCTGCACACACAGATACCTACAGTGTAAGCATGTGTAGAGCTATGTATACATACACAACTACACATACATACACATACATACCATCCTCAATCCATCATGTATACGGGCATTTATGTAAAGAGCTGTGTGTAGGTACATACGTAAAAGATACACAGGATGAGATCTGAGACAAAAACCTAACACTGTGTATTATCTATGTACACCTACATATGTCAGTCACGCAAGAGATGCTGAAATGCACTCTGTGCACGTTACATAGGACACAGTGTATGTATTTGTGTCTATGGTACATACATACGTATAGAAAAAGACAAATGCAGACTCATCACTCCCTCTCTAGTCATCTATATGGAATTCTAGCATGTATTTTATATATGTATATTGGTGCCTACACACACAAACAGTGGTTTTAATGTATATAAGAATACATATTGATATAATCTATATGTAATAAAAATACAGGAGGAGACAGTGAGTGTTCCATCACTAACACACTCACTAGCCATCCAACTTTCTTAAATATAGGTGAGCATGTACATATATTTTTAAGCTTTTAAAAACATACATACACACACAGGCATACAGCTCCTTACATAACTTTATAACACTGCTGTCTACATTAACAGACATCTACACAGACCTCACACAACTACAAACTCTCTCTATATACTGAACATCTATAAGTGCACATGTACACACACGTACATACGACCAGGAGCTCTGCACGCGTGTTCTCACCTGAGTCGCACCCACAAAACGCGCCATGTGCCAGGCCGACAGGTAAGATGGCGGCCGCAGCGCCGCCTGCGGGGGACGGCGCGGAATGGCGGCACGCGGGAGCCCCTCACCACAGCCTGAGGCGATCCGCGCGCGGCTCGAGCGCCGCCATGCGGCCGCACGCCCAAGGCGGAGCTGCGGGCGGTAACGGCGCGGAGCAGCTGCGCGGGGAACAGAGGCGTGCGGGGATCTGCGCGTCTTTCTCTCCCCCCGCCCCCAAACTGACTGAGGGCGGTTAGGGTCACGCCGAAGTGATTTTTCTTTTATCTGAAACAAGAATGTTTCATTGCAGAAATTATTCAAGTTGTTTATATTTTGTTAGCCTTTTATTTAGGTTGCTTCGTATTGAAAAAATAAAGGTTGAAATTTGAAATAAAATATTTTCCAGACTTGTATTAATGTGGGGATTTACGGGGGACCGAAGCCTGCACACACACCCAGGCAGTTACCATGAAACAGAACATCTTCCCACAAGGTATGGCTGACTGCTGACAAACACCTCCGGGCTCTGGTTTGAGCAGGGAAAGCCGCCTGGCCCAGCTGGGTGCTGTCTGCCAGGAACCCTCTTTGGGCTATGCTCTGACCCCAGTCAATCAGCCAGATCAGCAAACCCCTCTTTACTGCACCCATCTCAGAAGAAAGAGTTCTGCAAAATTGTCTGAAAAGGGGATTATGCAACAAAACCAACTCTGCTCTCCCCAGGTGCTCACCTTTGCTGCCTGCAATCCTCAACAGCTCTGCAGCCCTGCTGCTCTGCCTGTGCAGGCAAGGTGTGTCTGATGGGCTGCTAGGAGGCAGAGCTATAGTGAATAAAATAGTGCATGAGGAAAAGTAACATAAACAGGTCAGCCCAGACTGAGTGGCAGCTCGCTGTGTGTCTTGCCTGAGCTCTGGTCTGTATGAGTTGCATGATTTTTTAAAAGAAATGCACCTTACAGTCATGTCTGAGAATAAGCAACTCCAAAGCCATGAGTTTACAGAGAAGTTATACTTGCCTCTGGGTGCAGCTCACATCTGACAAATGCTCTGCGTGCAAAATGGCTTGAGCCCAAGCTATTTTAAAAATAGTTGGATTTAGGTACTTGGTACAGCAGCTAAGCTGATGGCAGCATAACATCCTTCATAGCTTTATATTCCAGCCCTAACATGTCAGACAAATCTTTTTCCTCCCACAGCATTGATCCTTTTGGATGCCCCAAGCAGACTTACTTACAAACCTTTTTTGAAAACATTAACTCCACCAAGGGCCATTTTATAAGTTATAAACATTGCACAAAATGGCTGAAGTAGTTATGAGGTACACAGAAATAGAAGCTTCCTGGCTGTACAGAAGGCAGAATAGTAAGCCTTTAGCTTCACTTTCAAGACCATAATTTGCAACCATACAAAATCCATTTCTGAGATGTCTGACACAGTAAGCCTCTTTTACACTGCCAGAATCACTGCATAGCTTGACAATTCAAAATGTCTGCTATGAAGGAGCCCTACTGACAGGCTATATGCAGAAGTTAAAAGGAAGTTTGTACAAGGAACCTTGCTGTAAGGAAAATATGAACAATACTTGACCTCCATCATACCCAAGTTAAAGTTTCTCAAAGATGTGAGCTCTATCAGCAATAAACCAATGCAAAATTTCCAAAGAAAAAACCTGGTACCTACTATGTCATGGCATCTTTGTTTTACAGACCCATTCCTGTCATAAACTAATTTTCTCCTCTTTCATTCTGGTGTTGCTCATCACACCTAATGAGGCAAAGGGAGCATTCTTTCATTCTAGCATAAAGTAGATTAATCAAAACCTCCTTAGGGAGGTGGCTTCCATAATTGAGTTTGTCCTCCAGGCAAAGCCACAGCTGAACTGTGAGATGCCCATCTCTTGGCCAAAGATATCAACTTGTGAGTCAGCTTGGGGTGGACAACAGGAAAATACAAAGAGAGCCTTTATGCAGGGAAAGCTATCACTCCAAGACGTGCCCCTCTATTTTAATGTTGCCATGGCACGTCTGGTCTTACGTCCTACTACTGAAATCCTCGAGTTTTAGCCAAGGAACAGAAATATCTTTATCAATAAGAGTGAAATTAATTTAAAAAAAATCAGTATTAGGGAAAAAAATTCCAATCAAAGCTCAAAAAACTCCCCCTCCCAAGGGGAGTCTAGCAGTGAACAAGGACATCAGGCATGTGAGTCCATCTTGTCCTTGCCAGCGTGCCAGCCTGCTGGCATGCGGCTGTGGAGATACAGCTATTCCCACCTGCCTGCTGGGAACGTGTAATGATCTGTGAGAACAGTCATGTCTGCTTCCAGCTTACATGTCACGAGCTACTGAAGGATGCTGCTGGGGGAGATGGCTATGAGCTCATGTCTTAATGAGCTCATCTGCTGACCGTTAGTTTGGCACCTTTTCTACTGCTTGCTGTATGATGAACATATATATATATGCATTTTTTTTCCCTTTAAAAGTCTCCCTCCCCATTATCGAAAATAATGGAGAGCTTTAGAGAGCTTTTTCTTTTTAAAGCAATTGTGAGTATGTACATGAAACCTTTGCTTACAAGTCATTCACACAGAAAGCACAGACAAGCCCTCCTGCTGCGAGGTGACAGCTCTGTCTGGCTCTGCAGGGCTTTGGTATTCATAGCTCTACGAGGTCATCACTGGAAAAAACCTTGACGGTGATGTGACCTGGCACCTCCTCGGCTTCTTGGCTGCCCCTCCCTCGAAGTTGCAGAGTCTGCTGTTCTCTGGGGTCACTGGGTGAAGCTGCCAGCAGCGCCTGTCCAAGGAACTGGTCACACAAGATGTTGCTGTTCCAGACCTAGAGACAAAGGGACAGAAATAACCCCAGCTGAAGCACTGCTTCTCTTTCACACTCTACTCAAAAAGGTTGTGCTGGAGGAGGGTCATTCCCATTAACCCCTCAGAAGAGCAGTGAGGAGGGGGCATACATCTAAATTTAGCTAATTGTCTAGCAAGCAAGTGGGAGATTCTGGATTTGCATGCTCATTTACATATGTTATGCAAATAAGGAGCTAAATGCAGCTTTTTACTTTCTAGGTCAAAGCCTGCCTAGAAGAGGAATGAAAATTAGCAGTTTGAGTTTATCAGCAGTAAAAACCTACGTGCAGTCAGCTTGTTTGTGCCACTCTGCCAGCTTGTGCTCACCTCCTGCTCTCTAGCAGTGCTTTTCCTGTGACTGTTAGAACCAGATCCCCTCTGCTCAGAGTGCTCCCTAAGTAACAGCAGTTGCTGTTCAATGGAAAAGATCTGGGCTAGAGAATCAGAATTAGTGGAGCAGCTGAACAGTGTCAATCATAGCCCAGAAAGGGAAACAGTTCTTGCACTTGTCTTGTTTTTTCTATCCCCTGTCCTTGGCAGCTCACTCAGTGTGGTTTACCTTACCTGGACAATGATGGGACTGTCAATGTTCTTCCTGTAGAAGATGACTCGTGTGTCGAAAGTCGCCCTGGTAGTATTGTGTTGTACAGGGGAGCGCACCTTTTGGTTCTCACACTTGATGAGCACATAGGGATCTGCTCCTGAAACACAGCCATTAGATCACAGAATAGTAGCTGAGACCTGCCCAGAAACCCAGCAGGAGCCATGTCCTCCATTGCCTGGCAGCACAACTGCTAGTGACATGGAACAGGGCACCAGAGTACACCACATCCACTGCTAGCTCCCTGTAACAGACAGAAGTGAAATACCTCATTCTTGATGAGTAACAACCGAATGCTCAGAATTAGAAGTTGAACACTGTTTGCCATGAAACCAGCCAACTCTTTGACTGGGATTGTCATCTTCCCATATCCCTTTACTGTACACATCCTCATTTAACACAAAGTCTTCCAAGTGAAACACTACACTTCCCAGCACTGCTCAAGACACGAGAGACAAAATGCATCCATGTGTATGTAATCTGATATGTGGTTCAGGGCTACAGGGCAAAAATGGAAGGTTAAAGCTGTTCATCCTCCACAGTTCACTGAACACATATCTCAGTGCCCAGCTTTACAGTGCCTAAGTTGAAAATGCTGTCTACCACATTCTGATATGAGTTGTATATTAGTTTTAGGAGGTAATTTTCATGAAGCAGTTTCCCTTGTAGAAAACAAAATATTGTCAAAACACACAAGAGCATGCTGCTTTCAACAAAATTTTCTGTAGGAAGCTGTCAAAGCAAGTCCTCCGTAGTTCCTGATTTCATTCCCGTGAATCTGATAGAATTTCTTTGGTTCTATTATTTTGATCTCTGTTATTTTAAAGTTTAAATTATTGTCATATAATTCTTCCCAATTAATAACTTAAATTACACTTTAATTATACATAACCCACTGAGATGATCAACATTTCAGAAATATGTTACAGTTCCTACATTTCACATTTTCACTTTGATATAAACATTGATATTTCCTTTTCATTCCAGTAGGGAGCAAGAATTGCTTTGAGGAAAAAAAAAAAAAAGAAAAAAATCTGTCTTTATCCTGGAATGGGACAGACCACTCCACTTTACTTTTATTTAAAAGCAAGTGCTACATTTTTCTGTATTTCAATGCAAGTATTTTTATCCATTCTTAGTGTTAATTGCAGCATATCTATTTTTTCAGCCCCTTCTACTTTTGCAACTCATATTTTAAATAAGCCCACTGAATGTGTGTAAGTGTAATTCAGATACACGATCATTTCTTACGCACATTTTGACCATCTACCCGAAAGAGCCACTACTCGAATGACAGTCATAAGGCAGCAACATTTTAGGGTAGCTTTCACTTTTAAATAATTCATACCCAGCTTAGTTTTCCTCAAACATATCACTCAAACACCTCACACAAACAAACCACATAGCTGCTACATCCAAAACAGAAGGAATTCCTTACACTGACGAGAAAGATTTTTCCGTATGCTGCACTGCAATTACATCTGGCCAGACATGTAGCAGCCCGTTACCCTGACAACATATCACACTTTCTACAGCAGGTACCAATGTATTGGCTTCTCTGGGAGGCAATTACTTTCTGTGTCACTGAAGGTGTGGATTTAGCTCTGGGGCACGAGGCAGCACCATGCTATGTACCAGTGATGGAAGGGCTCCACCATTCGCTGAGAGATTTGGAAAATGAACCTGAATAAAATGGGGTCTTGCATGAAACAGCCATAGGCTACAAGCAAAGCAACATCTGATCATTAACTGAAATCAAGAGACACAGGGCATAAGAGGTGGTGGGGAAAGAACATAGAAATTTAAGAGTTAACAGGCGAATTTGCTGGATTGCAGAACTATTAATGAAGGGACTAGCTAAGTCAATGGAAAAGGAAAGTTAACATTTAAAAGAAACATTAAAATTCTCAGAATCAGATAGAAAAAAAAATAGGAAGGCAGAAGACAGACATTAAAAGTAATTGCACAGCATGACCTCACGATTGCATTACTGAACTGCCATTTATATCATAGAATGGGACAGGGCTGCCCCCAAACAAATCAGGTTGGCCTTGAACACCTTGAGGGATGGGGCAGGAAGAATGGCTTTAAGTCTAGAAGAAAAGAAAGAACTGGGAGAGCTGCATATGTGGAATGAAACTAGAAATGTTCTCAGCTACCGCGGGCCCAGGTGTCTGCAGCACTAGCCTGGTTTATGTGCAGTACAGTGACAATGCAGAAAGGGCTATTAATGTGGAAAAGAAAATATCCTAGCATTCACTGCAAGTTGGGAAGGAGAACAACTTGAGCTTCTATTCCGGTAGTGGAAGAGGTTCAGTTCTCAATCATATATATGATTCAAGCTTTCCTGTGCTTTGCCTGGATATTTATCATCTGTTTTTGCCCTCTCCTTCCATTTCTTGATCTACTCCCAGGGCATCTGCCATTAAAGGCACCAGATACGCTCCTTACCAGGGATATTGTACATCATACACCGAGTTTAGAAAAGAAATGGTGAAAGGCCATTAAACACGTGAATTCAGCATGGAATTCCAGTGGAAAGGCTTAAGTAAAGATGACTTTTTCCAGAAGATAAGCTGTTAAGAAAAGAGTGCGACAGACAATAGGGAGAGCAATTTTTAAAACAGACTTGGGAATGACAGGCAGACTGAAATCCAAGCACACAGCACTTCCCCATCTTCTTGCAAACTGCCACTTTACTTGGCTCCCAAATAGCTGGATCAACTTCAGCACAAGCTAACTCAGTGAGGTACTTCCAAGAGAAGCAGCCAATATATGTTCAGAACTAGATTCATCTGCTAATCTAGCAGCAAACCATCCATTATTTTTTTCTGACAGGACAATGGATTAAAGACAGCAGCAAGGAAGAGCTTTTAAATAAACATTTATAACAGAGATTAAACAACCTTCTTCTGTCGGGGGACAGGGTTCTGATGACAAGCAGCTTATGAGCCAGGCTGGGAGTGCACTTGCTATGCAGACTTCATTCTCTTCCAGTTTTGCTTAAGTAGTTTCTCAGAAATTTGTGCTAAGCCCAACTCTCATATGACAGCGAGGGGCTGATGTGATGAATAGCACATTCAAATCTAAAATCACACTAAGCAAGATGTATCAAAAAAAGGTACCTCTGTACAGAGTCCTCTTAGTTTCCACATCCCCTTACACCGGTTCAGAGTATAGAGATATTCTGATGTTTTCAGGACGCAGTTTGTCACAGAGAAGTAATAAAATGCCTCAGTTCTCAGAAGCTTCAGAAAGAATAATATAATCCCTCATGATCATCTAGTTCTGCATTCTCTGTCTGCTAAAGGATGGTAGTGATGCCTTACTCAAACCAGGCAGGCAAACTGGCCAAGGGATATATAGCTAACTGATGACAGAGACTAGGAGAAGGAAATAGCAGAGCTGAGATGCAAATACACAGGTAGACAAAGAAGTCCGGAAACTCATGTAAAATGCAATGGAATAATCAGACACAGCAGCTCACATGGAAACAAGTTACCATCAATATCTGCACCAAAAAATGAGTAACAGTAACGTGTGCATGAGGCTCTCTTAGCAGCATACACAGTCACTTAATCTACCTGTTTCCTATGCGAGTAAACATTGATTGCGTCTAACCTGAAGGGAAACTTCTACTTGTCTTTCCATATGGAAACTGCCATGTGGCATTTTGTGTCAGCTCACAGTATTGATTATACAAGAGGTTGCTGCTGACTCTTAATTCTGGCTCACACTAGGAAATGGAAATACTAGGAAATGGAAATGGAAATACTCCGGGAGTGGCGGGCAAGACTTACTTTGGTAACTACCCATGTGGCTGAGGTCTAAACTCAATTCTGGGACATATGATTTGACATCCTCCAAGCAGACACCTCTTTTTTGATTGCTTGGCTGCTATTTCTCCTTGAAATATGGGAAACAGAACAGACATGGATCTAGAGAAGCTACAGAGAGATGGAAGACGCCAAATAGATGAGAGATGACAATTTCTTCTGCACAATATTAGAAAACAATCTCAGAATACATTAACTCATTACTTTTTAGTGTATATTTACAATTCACATGTGCACTGTGTTTCAAGGAATTTCTGTATTCAAATATTATAATGTACAAAAAAAAAAATCCCAACCCAAAGGTGAGAAACGTGTGCCATGTTCTACTTTTTGTCTTACTAAAAATGGAATCCAGTATCAATCAGAAACTTTGCAGACTTCCCCACAAGACACCCTCAGAAGGCAGGATGCAGTTGTTGATGTTACACTTGTCACTGCACAGCTTAGTTTTAATGCATAGCACAAATGTGCGTGTTTGACTTAATGATTTTTTATTTATGCTCTTGATCTACTCCATTTCTCTAAAGCTGCCATAATATGTGGCAACTATAAGATAATCTATATCCTGTGAGTTAGAGAATCTTAAAGGAAAAACAATGCTGATAAAGAAAGATTCAAATAGATTTTCACAGCAGAATTCAAGGTAACAGGGAATGCTGATGGAAAGAATGATTTCAAGCCTTCCTTCAGTGCCCTACCTATGAATGGTACTGCAGGCTGATTTGGTGCTGCAGGCTGAAAAGGGACAAAAGGCTTTTGCCAAAATCTTTGTGTTGACACAAAAGGAAAATATTTTTTACATTTTTGGTGACATTTTATTCAAAGGCAAACAATAAGACTCGTTTAGGCTTTTGTGTTCAGATTTTGCTTATGTTTAAACAAATTCTGTGAGCCCATTTCCTATATACAGTTCTTCCCACAATAGTGTACATTTTCACTTTTGTTGGGGCAGTTACGAGCCCAGTTCTGGGTGCTGAAATCAAAATGGCAGGTATTTCTGCTCAACCTGGATATGTGTGGTAGCACTGGGTCCTAGCAGTATTTTGAGCTGTACTATGGAGTATCTATTACACATCAGTTTTATGTTCCATTTGTATATTCCTGAGGCCTGTGTCACAATGCACCAACTGACAATACTCTCTGAGCTGAAGCGTGGTCTTTGGCAGCTGCAGGCAATTGTTTTTAATGATCTTATCAAGATTGTAATTGTGCTAAGGATTGTGAAATGCTAAGGGTGGAGAATTGGCTTTCATTACTTTATTGCAGGGAATGTTAGAGAAAAATGTCTAAGGAATTTTAAATGGAGGGAAAAAAGCCTTAAAAATGGAAATGTCCTCCACGGGGCAAGCACAAGAACATACTCCCTCTTTTCAAAGAACTGCTTTGCTATTCTGTCACTTGTAGCCCCCTCATTTATCTCATCCAAGCATCCTGCCTCTCTGAGAACATGGAGCCATACTGCTTATTTGACCGAGGTGTCTGTAGCTCATCTTTTTCAAGAGAAGTAACAAGTCAAATGAACTGACGCAATGCCATACATTTCTTCCCTTCAACATTCATGTCCCCTGAAGAGACAACCAGAGTTAACAGAAAGGGACTTGCACAGTAAAAAGTAGATTTACCCACTGCTCAATGGGCACAAGGACCAACTGTGAAAAGGGAACAAAATTGCAGCTGGCTAGTGGGAGAAATCTTACAGTTGCTCCAGAAGTCTCAGTACTGAAGGTGTAACAATTTCTTTACCACAAAGCGTTAAAGAAATTGAGTTTCACACCTTAAAGTAAAGAGAGTTGAAGAGTTATCCAGAACAAACAGCTGATGCTTCATCAGCCTGTTCCAAGTTCACTGTACTATCTCTGCTCATTTACTTTCTCTCCTCCCAAGACTTAGTGCTGGTCTTGTATTCCACTGGTCATGGAAAGTGAAGGATGACAGATGGAGTATAGGAGTAGAAAATCAGGAAGTAAATGACAACTGGGTGTGTTTCCTAATTAACTGCCAACATCAGGTACCAGAAAGACATTTATGCATTGTTGTTTCAAGACACTTCCTTCAATGTGTAGGCACACAGCCTTGTACTCGTAATTTAACCTCTCCCTCTTTTAGTGTACTTAGCAAAATGCCGTATTTCTTCCCCTGAAGTGCTATTAAACCTATGGTAACGAAGAGCAAAGTGTTCTGGCAGCTATCAATGATATCACTGAGGTAAGTGTAATACACCACATGTGTAGTCATGTGTGTTACTCAACAGTCTCCCTGGATTTTTCCATTCAGAAAACAGATACCCCTGAAAAGTTAATTTCTTACTAATCCCTACAAAAAGCTTCTGGAGAGAGTCTGGCTACTACAGTCCATCTGCACCAGGATAGATGACACATGACTCTTGCCAGTTTACATCATCTTATTCATCTGAGCTCTCCTTTTGAACAGATCTTACAATGTGTTGAAAAAAAAACAACCCAATTTCTTTGGATAATTTCTGACTGCTTACATGTCAACTTAGCTCTGCTCTGGAGGACTGAAGAAGCCCTTTCCATTCTTCCAGGCTTGTTTTACACTTACCACCTGATCCATCTTGCTCCTGTAAGCCTTCTGCAGAGTGGATTTTGATTTGGGTGATTCTGCGTGGATAGCCACAAAGAAGACTCCAACATGTCATTTCAGGCTTATCTGCTGTCAGCTCTCTGAAAAATCAAGGCAAAGCAATTGCAGCAGTGAATTTCAAGCAGACTATCAATGGTTTTGTATTGTTGGCCTTTTCTGAACTTGACATTTGTTGCAAATTTGTGGTACAGACTTGCAGAAGTAAAAACAAAGCAAACCACACTAAATGTATTTCATCTCTTGTATGACAGCAAAAGTGGTAGGAATTTATTTATTTTTTTTTTTTTTTAAAGAAAAGTAATGTCAAAACAAGACAAAAATTCACTGGGCCTCGTTCTACTAAGAACTAGTTTTGCTCTCACAGATAACCACTAGTTTCAAATGAGATTGGTTAAAGACAGTATCAGCTGTACAGACAAGTACCAATATTCAGAGTTCTGCACCAAAACTTAAGGCAACTACAGAAGCCAGATTAAAAGATTAAGAGTTCCAGTTGTTCTTAAGTCATCAAGCAAAAATGTCCGGAGCACACACAGAAGCCAGTAGTCCACCTGGAGATTCTTGGAGGTGACTCAGGCTATCTTGAAGGACATCTTCTGGAGTTCTGAAGTGATACATGCTAGTGAGTCAACAATATTTGAGGGCAACCAGGCAACAATTTTTGGGAAAGTGCAGCCAGTACAGGCAAGGGAAGATCTCATGCAACTGTGAGTGCAAGACTACCTGAGCTTTGACGGCACATCAGTGAAGAGTCTCAGGATAAAATCTGTAGTAATGCCAGGAAGATATGTAGTTGGGATAAGGATGTAACGGCCTTGCTTAAGGGTCTTCTTCAAGAACACATTGCGTGTATTGATGTATGGAGATGTGGCTACTCTCTCCTGCACAGTCAGCTTGTGTAGTCGATAGCTTCTGTTATCTTCTACCTACAACCACAGAGCAATATAAAGGTTAGCAAGGAGGAATATCAGAGACAGCAGGCAGGATTTTCCCTGCATATCATGCCACCTTTCACGGGCAGAAAAAACACTGGTTTGTCACAGTTCACTCACTGTAGTTGTGACACAGACTCCTGACAGCCAACTCAGTGCTCCCAATGCTAGCCCACACTGGCTCCCAAGCAGTGCTGCTTTGCACTTCACATATACATGTACTCATACATCCCTAAGTGGAGGTGATAGTTTGAGACTGGCAGACACATTTGTCCACTAACAGACATTATGATACTGCAGAACTTTGAATATTTGCAGAGATGCATGCACACTCCAAGGGCATCAACTGCTAAGCTACACTGCCATCTTAGGTGAGGATGAGATTTATCTGCCTGCTTTCTATAGCATGCTGTACTCTGCACGTGAGATAAAGCCTTTCAGTCTTATATTGCAAACTCTCCATCCAGGGCACACGAACAGATGCACACAGCCATATTTACATTGTCCTTCCCTGAATAATTAAAAAAAAAAAAGCTAGAGAATTATCATTTACATTTTGTTTTGTGAAGCTGTGCTTAAATATTAACACTCTTCAGGCAACTAATGTTTGCCACAGCACAGTTAAAACATAAATCCATTCTCCTGTGACTGATCACAGCCCTGCATTCGTTTCTGGTATTTCTCTTTTGTCTTCTGATAATTTACAGCATGGTCTTTGGAAGGCCCATAGCTGTATTAACAAATCTGGTGGTTTCCAACTTTTCCAAAATAGAAAATTATTGAACAGAAATAAAAGACAGAGCATTGACATGTTTCTGAAGATGCAATTTCTTTTCCAAGCCTTCCTAGCAGACATGAGCAAGGCATGGGGAGATTATGCTACTTTCTAGATTGACACTTTTCAATACATTTGGTAAGCACGTGGTTGTCAAACATACAGGTGGGATATAGATGCCAACAGCTGTGACTGACTGTTAAAAACTGGCTATTTTTGAAGTAGGGCCATAGCCTGAGTGCAGCTCCACTGGTTATAGCAAGGGATTATAAAATAATCCCTCTCCTCTGTGAAAAAGATGCATAGCTGTTTCTCTTTCTTTCCTCCTTCTGCTTTTAGTCCTTGTGTTTTTGTTTTACACAGTTTGCCCTAAGAGTGTAATTAAATTACTGTTTGGGATCCCTTTGGCTTCTTTTCACATGTTCTCATTTCCTACTCACTACTCCAGCTATTGAAATCGCTCTTGACACTTTTGACTTGTCTAAGTGGGAAAAGAAAAACTGCAGACTTTCAGAACTCATTCACTTGGCTGTATTTGTTTGAATAGAGGTAGGATTCCCCAGTGAGACAAAGAAATAAAACCTCCATTTTTAAGCATTAGTACATTTTTCTGCGAAAAAACAATCTGTCTCTCCAAAGTTTGGAATAATGAAAAACATTTAGAATTCTTTTGCAGTAGGTAATAAAGACTTACGCTCCTTCAGTTCAAATAGAGTTTGCACTAAACTAAATTCAGAGCAGTTCAAATAGTCTGTCTAATGTCAGCTGTAGTGAGTGAACGCACACAGAACTTGTGGAGAGCCAGATCCCTCTGTGATAGTCATGCCTCTATCTGCCAAAGGTTTCATTTGCCAGAATGAGGCGAGGTTTCAGAACAAACTCAACCAGTTGTGCCTACCTTGAAGATTTCAAAACCAATGATGATGTTGTCTCCTTTCCCTACTTTTTTGCTCCTGCGCTGATCCTCCTGTTGTAATGAGATCAACACTTTGTCTTCTGTCTTCTTAACATCAAAGATGTACTAAATAAGAGAGAGGATAGTAAGCTGATAAAAAAGCCTTATTAGACAGAGGATAAAGCTATCACTGAGGAAATGGATGCATAAAAAGGAGGGAACTGAAAACACATTTGAGGGTAGGTGGAAAGTTATACATTACACTTTCTCAGCAATTTACATCTGAAAATTAATACTAATTAAAAATAAAAACACAAAAAAAACACACACAAAAGCACACATATAGAAAAAAAAAAAAGCAGGTAAATTGCCTAACAGGGCAGTATGAGACTGTTAAAAAATAACTGTTGAGGCAGCAGAAGGGAAGAGCCACTCTGAAACTTTCATTTACAAATATGTAAATCAGGAGTGAGATAAAAAAAAATAAACCAATAGATTTCAGATAGGATCTATGTTCATTTTAGATTATTCTCTTAAGCTGAATATCTAAACAGGGCCAGTAAGTTTCAAATATCATCTTCATACAGGACCTGCAAAGGAAGGTATCTTCCAAATGTTAATTTTTTTCTACGCTTGCATCTACAATTTCTATTTAATATAAGAATGACAGGAATATTAATTATAGTATTTCTCAGATTTTCTGAAAGCCTTAGGAACACACAGCTAAAAGACTAAGAAGGCCTCCTGCATCTTTAACATGCAAATCTTTTATCCAGACTGTTTAAACTTGAATTGACCTGGGTTTAAAACCAATCAAAGCAAATTATTTCAGGCTTAGGCAGCAATTCCTAGCTCAATAAAAGATTCTTGAATTGAATACAGCACTAAAGTAATTCTACCAGATCAGTTCAAAAGTGAATCTGTGGGCTTTATGCAGATGAAAAACATCCGGTGGGTGTTTCCATATATGATAAAGAATTTAACACTCAAAGTATCTCACTCTGGATTTTATTTCTTTCTTTCTGCATATAAAAATACGCAGAGACGTGCAGTCAGACATTTTTATTCTTATCCTTTCTGAACTGCAGACAGTGTTATACTGTCAGACAGGCTAGGGTGTCCTTGAGCAAATAGAGGTGTGGAAGGGGAGCTTTAAGAGTGCAAGAGAGCTCTCTTGGACTGATGAGAGGTGTGCAACTGCAGTGATCTTTGAACTGAAGACATTTCAGCTGTCCTAATAGGTACCAACCTGAAAACCAGCAGGTGGCTGTAGGGGTGCCTACATACTTGGCGGCTTAAATTCACTTACTTTAATGGAACTGGAAGTGTCAAAGCCCCCCTCGATACAGATGAACCTCACAAGAGGTTTCAGTGTCAAGCAGTGAGAGGGAGAACAGAGCGTCTCTCTAGATTGCAGTAGTATGTGCCATAGTAACTGATGACAGCCCTAAGCTAACATAAATGTGCTTCAGCACTGCCATTAAGAGACTTTTAATTAACTAGCCTAGAGGCAACTGGAATAAGAAGAACTTCCATTACATCGGGCATTGCACTCAACCGTAACAATTATACTTTGTTCTCTGCTAAACACTTACAAGTAGGCCCAGACAAGTACATGGAATACATTCAGATTAATACATGGGGATATCTGAATAAAATCACCTTCTAGAAAGGAGGCACTGACACTTAATCAGAGGAGTGAAGAACTGCTTCTCTATCTGCTTCAAAAACTCTTGTTAAGTGGATATACTTCAAAACTGTGCAAAGTAGAGACTCTCACCTGGGGATTCTGAAGGAAGGTCTCTGTGTTATCAAAGCATCCGCCACAGCGATTTAGCAGGGGCTCTGAATTCTTTGCCCAAGCCCCATGCAGCATTTTTGTCTCCCAGGTCTTGTGGATACTGAAGTAGGAGGTATTTACAATCCGGCAGATGTCCACATCAGTGAAATTCTTACACCAGTCCTCAAAAGTCATCCTGTTCCACAGGACACCAGGAGAATTATGGTTTATTTGAAAGTAAACAGTGCTATTCACCCACAGAGCCACAATAACACATGACATCTTCCAGTAATTTAACTGCAGGCATTGTTTAGCTTTCCAGAGGACAGAATCACCAGAAACCTCTCCATGTGGAAATACCCATGAAGCCACAATCACACTATCTTAGAATTTCACTTAAAAAACTATCACCTCAGAGCTTTAAGCCAAAATGACCGGTTGTATCTACCAGGCTGGATTTGATAACTTCAGTATTTGCAAAGAGAAAGGAGATCACCTGCAATCAAAGCTGAATAAAAAATCCACTCCTCCAGAACACTGTTATGGTCCTTGTTACATCTGTTCATGAACAAGATTAAAACCTAAATGCTCTGGATATAGTTTTTCGTAGCTTCTCAATGCTGTAACCTCCATCTGCCATGGTAACAGGCTGGATCTCAGGACAGTTTGAAAATATTTCTCCTTTTTTGCACAAGAGAACAGGTTGGTATCTCTGGACTACCATAATGTACTGGCCCACTAACGCTCTGGGACCAAATCCTACAGGCAGCTTCTGTTTGCCAGTTCTGACAAAGTACAGAAGATTTTCCATACTGAGCCCTACTAGCATATATGATGCAGTACTGATGATCAACTGAAGAAGCTGCTGGACTGCCTGATTGGATCTGAGTTTTAACTGGATTCAAGCGATTTGAGTTCTACAGATTCTGTGGAAAATGGACACTTCCTGTCCTGGCGCTGGACAAAACTGACAAACACCAAAATTCATTTGCTGCAACTGCATTTACTGGCACCTTGGACTTAAAACTCCTACAAATAGACTCAGTAGTCACTAACCAAAACTGACAGCGTATTCAATATTTGGTGTTCTGTCATGTAAACCAGCACATGTGTTATCTCGGATTATAAGTGACTCTCATAAATGTAGATAATACATTTTGAAATATTTTGAAGGGGTTTGAAGCTTATATTTACTGAGAACTACTTTTTTTTTTTTTTCCTCTGTTTTCTCTGTCATCTTTTGGGAGTTTAAAAGAAGCAGACCTTATGCTAACTGGATAATCTATTATTCATATTGCAGAGTTGTTTTTGAAGCTGTTGAATTGCACAGATAATTGTGATTACTCAATGTAGCCATTATTTCCAACCCCTCCACATGACTCCCACTCACCAGAACTCTCCATCATTCTCAACAGTGAGTCCCAGACGTTTACGCTCCGCATTGCTGACTTTCTTCCACTCTTCAGAACTAGAAAGAAAAAAAAAAAAAGATGTACTAAATAAAATTAAATATTCTTATCTGGAAAACCAATTAAAAGTAAAATTCTCTCATTGTCCCTCTTTATAAAAATAACAATGGAATATAAATGGCAGGTTGTATTCAAGAAAAGGGTACATGGCTTACAGAAGGAGTTTAAAATCATTAACTGATTTGAAACATACTAGAAATAAAAGAGGTGAACAGCAAATTGGCACAGCTAGAGCAGAACTTCATTGATTTCCTTTGTTACACTCTAGCTTAGGACAGTTAAAGAGTTATTTTGGAAGGTCACATGAGACTGACTCAGTTTCTTAAAGGATCTTCAAAGAAACACAGATTTGCTCATCAAGAGCATATTGAACACTTCCTAAATCAGAGTATTAGTTTTGTCTTTCAATCTCCTTGAGAGGCAGGAAGGCTCCATAGATTTCCCAGAGAGCCTTTGAGAAGAAACTATTGTTTCTTCTAGGCAGAGTAAGCCTAGCTTCCAGTTTCCAGAGTAATACTACACTGCACTGCCTGGTCTAACATGCATTTATACGTCCTACATTGACCCCAGAAAAACACACCTCTCTACATGGGAGCCAAGGATTTCACATGTAAGTATTCTGATGCTTAGATCAGATAACATGATCAAATACAGTACAGATCCCTTCCCTTATGTGTTAACAGGAAAAAATGGAGACAATTCCTCACTCCCTTTCCATATGTATTTGGAAGATAAAGGTGAAGCTAAAGGAAAGAGGTTGCTAGTCATAAGCAACGTTTTCTTCACCAATTTGGAAATTCTTAATTTAATTTGGAAATTCTCAGTTCTCTGTTAGGCTAAAAAACAATGGGCCAACATCAGTGTCCTCTGGAATGAGTGACAGCTCAGACAAGACCTAGCAGAGAACCACAAGGGCTCAAGTTAAAAAAGACATACTATTTTCATAGAAAAACAGAATTTATTCAGGTTAGAAAAGACCTTCAAGATTATCAAGTCCTACCACAACCTAACCATACTACCCTGATTCTAACAACCCTCTGCTAAATCACCTTCCCGAGCACCACATCCAAATGGTTTTGAAACACATCCAGGGATGGTGACTCAACCACCTCCTTGGGGAGCCTGTTTCAGAACTTAACAACCCTTTCTGTGAAGTGTTTCCTGATATCCAACCTAAACCTCTCCTGGTGCCATTTCCCCTTGTCCTGTCACCTGTCACCAGTTAAGAGACCAACCCCACTCACTGCAGTCACCTTTCAGGTGTTTGAAGAGAGCAATAAGCTCTCCCCTCACCCTCTTCTTTCCCACACCAAACAGTCCCAGTTCCTTCCGTTGCTCCTCACATTGCATATTCTCCAAGACCTTTGCAAGCCTTGCTGCCCTTTTTTGGACCTGCTCCAGCACCTCCATGCCCTTTCTGTATTAAGGTGCCTGAAACTGAAGACAGTACTCAAGGTGGGGCCTCACCAGTGCTGAGTACAGTGGGCAGGATGACTTCCCTAGTCCTGCTTACCACAGCATTCCTGATCCAAGCCAGGGTGCCATTGGCCTTCTTGGCCACCTGGGCACACTGCTGCCTCATATCCAGCCGACTGTCCATCAGCACACCAAGGTCCCTTTCTATCAGGCAGCTTTCCAGGCACTCCTCCCTAAGCCTGTAGGGCTGCCTGGGGCTGTTGTGATCAAAATGCAGGACCCAACACCTGGCCCTACTGAAATTTGTACAGTTTACCTTGGCTCAATCTTTCCAGCCCTTTCTGAAGACAGGCATCACATTTGCCAGTCTCCAGTCCACCAGGACATCCCCGGTTAGCCAGGACTGTCAAAGGATGATGGAGAGTGGCTTGGCAACCACATCCACCAACTCCCTCAGCACTCTAGGATGCAATCCATCTGGCCCCATGGACTTGAGACCATCCAGCTTTCAATGCAGGTCCAAAACCATCTCATCATGGATCATGCAGAGCTTATTCTGTTCCCCATTCCTATCTTCCAGTGCAAGGGGCTGTATGCCCAGGGAGCAACTAGTCTTACTATTAAAGACTGAGGCAAAGAAGGCATTAAGTACCTCAGTCTTATCCTGATCCTTGGTCACTGTGTTCCCCTCTGCATCCAAAAGGGGGATGGAGATTTTCCCTAGTCCTCCTCAAACTGCTGATGTATTTATAGAAATATTTATTGTTGTCTTTCACATTAGTGGCCAAGTTTGGTTTTAGCTGGGGTTTGGCCTTTCTAATTTTCTCTCTGCACAGCTTCACTGTGTATTTGTAATCCTCATAAGTTGCTTGCCCCCCTCTTCTAAAGACCATAAACTTCCCTTTTGTTCCTGAGTTCCAGCCAAAGGTCTCTGTTCAGCCAGACAGGTCTCCTTCCCTATCAGCTTGTCTTCTGTGACTTGAAGATGGCCAGCTCCCCAGCTCCCACACCTTTAAAATACCTTCCTTAGAGTATTCCCAGCCTCTCTGGGCTCCCTCCAGAACTACCTCCCAAGTGACTCTCTCAACCATGGTCTGAAAGAGACCAAAATGTGCCCTCCAGAAGTCCAAGGCAGCAGTTCTGCTGACTCCCCTCTGTGCTTCAACAAGGATCAAAAAAATCTATCATTTCGTGACCACTTTGCCTCAGACAGCCTCCAACCTTTATACCCCCTGCAAGACCTTCTCTGTTAACAAATAGTATTTTTCTTAGCATTCTGCCAGCTTAATATTTCATCTGAACCAACCTCTTGTTTAAAAATAATAATTTTTGCTAGCTGAAGCAGGAAGATAAAAAGTTATTATACTGTTAAGAACATTGCATTATTGAATATTAACAGTGGTTGGTAAGCACAGTGTTGAACTGTAACATTGTAATTAAATGTTTGTCACGTGTTAATCGCCAGCAATGGAATACACCTCCACCAGCAATCATTGCCAACTCTACAGGGGTGCTTGCTAGGCTCATGGCCCATATTAAAACTCAATATAAAATAGCTCAAGAAATTATGAATATGGTGATTTTACAGCATTTTTCACCAGCTGCTTAAATTTGTTAAGAACGAAAGGTTTGTATCATCCCCAGCAGCTAGAAATTACAGATGAGAAACTGAGTCACAAACTCAGTGGTGAAGCTGGGAACAAACCTCATGTTCTTGACTCATCATCTTAATCGTAGGCTGGTTTTCTACTCGAGATCCAGTGGGCCAGAAGAACGATGTACACTAAGGTCCAGAAATTTATAACTCTCCTGGATGTGCTCACAGAACAGGAAGAGATGACAGAACATTTCAGATCTCACTGAACACTGCAGGCTGTCATTATGTCTTTGTGTGGCCCTAAACACAAATTTGTTCCTTTAACACTGGATTGTCAGCACTTACTTGTCACTCCAGGCACCATTCCACTCTCTATTTCCCCAGGGATTCCTCAGCCTGACCATGAAGAGCTTTTCTGTGTTAAAAGAGAATGTCAGGCTTTCTCCAAGGTGCAGCTTCCGAATTGCAGTCACTGAGTAGGCATGACCAGCGACAAGACCTGTCTTTGCCTCCACCTCATTGGCTCTTCCAGAGGAAGACTTCAGCACCAAAAATGACAAAAAAGAGAACTCGTGTCATTGAGGACGTTTGACATCTATACATTCAAGGGGCAGGACAGGGAAGGCTAATTTTCTTTAACAGAGCTGCAGGATTTCTTAGAAACTGGGTTTGCTTCTCATAGACTTCAATAAGAAGCCTGGTTACCAGCAGGGACCAGGCAGTAGACTGTCCTGCTGGATGCCCTAGGTTCAGTGAGATGCAGATCTAAAGCATACATAACGTTTGCCAATTTACCAAAACAGAACACAATTTCATTTAATGTATCCAAAACAACATCTTTTAAGTACACCAGAAAAACGGTATCAAATACAAATGCTGGAGCTCACGTGAATGACTGGCCCTTTACAAAGTCAGTGCAGCATTGCTTTTGAGCAGCACATAGATTGGGCAGGAGAGTGGGAAAAGTAAAGCTGTGGCAGTGCTATAATGTTGCTTCTGAGCCAGAAACAGCCCAAAAGGTTATGCCTCTGGACTGATCCTATACTATTTGATGCCAGCATGGGCAGCTTTGCAATGAACCATATCCAGAATCTCACTTGTATTGGGCCATAATCTACACTTCAAACACTCACTTGGACAGCAAGAGAGGCAAATTTGACCCAGTGCAGATCTCATGTGTAACTCACAAAAGTCACAAGACTTTGCTCTGGTGTAGAGAGATGGACTTACTAGAATTATGAAATGCACTGTACTATTCCCAATATTTTTACCCCTTTTAAAATTTCTCTGGTCTAAACAGACCAGTCTTCCTCCTCAGGCAAGTGTTGCACTGATACTAAAGTGTTCAGTCCCAAAGAGAAGAAATCAGAAAAAAAATAAAAAAAGGCAGAAGATAAATTTACATCAAATCAGAAAAGACAGATGCTCTTGCAAGTGTGAGACTCTCTCCCAGACCTCTTTGCCTTTCACCATCAACAGCTCCTAAAGAATCAGCACGTGTTACATCAAGACCGGCAGACATTTCCAAAGGGTTTGGGATTGCTCCAGTGTAACACTTCCACTTGCATTTTTCACAACTAAAAGCAAACAAGACTCTTTCACAGTACAGGAGTCTGCATATTCTCTGCTGTTTTTATTATCCTCCAGGCCTTTCTCAACTGCTGGGCTGTCTTTCTTCTGGGGCCATTTATTTATTTATTTAGCTGAGATATTTAAACATCTGTTCTTCAAACATCTGAGCAGTGAAGATCAGAGCTATTTTTTGTAATATGAGGAAAATGATGATGTGTTTAGGTTAGCAGAGAAGCCACTCAAGGATTAAATATTCTATATCTAGCAAGCTTCATTATGTGTACACTGTATCTATCAAAAAGTGATAAATGTAGATGAGTCAAGCCAAACCACTGGGAACAGCCCCTGCGTAATCAAGCTTAAGAGACATCTGCTTAATTTGACAGGCAGAAATATAATGCCAGGAAGACATGAAGGGATTACAACTGCCTTATTAATTGATTTCTAAAATACAACTCCCTAGATTTTGTCTACCCCTACAACAGATCCATGTTAGGAAACTGAACTGACTCAGCATTTGGCACTAATGAATTCTTTCATAAACACAGTCACACTGGTAAGTCTGGTCTGCCAGCCTAATCCAAGCAAACCAGACTTGTATTTTTAAACACAAATTCTGACCTCATGACAAATGTAAAACAAACACCAAAGACGTAAAACAATTTGTTTCTGAGCTGCTGTCTTATGCTGCTGGGAGAGATGGTTCAGGACTCCTATCCCAGCTGAGTTCTCAAGTTCAAGTTAACTCCCCACAAGGGACCAGGTGGGTTCGCCTTTGGTAGCATGGCATTGGCACAGGGCAGTGTGTGGCCAGGCATAGCTAGATATGTAAGATTCATAGGCATCTCTAAACACAGCTATTTCCTGCTATTCTCAGTAACCACACAACAGCCATGACATTCATGCAAGTTTCAAAATGAATCAGCACTGGAGGGTCCATTTAGTACTCACACTATGGACTGACGTTGGAAATGGAATACGAGCTTTGCTTTACAGATGGGGAAAATTTCTAAACACAGCTATTTCCTGCTGTTCTCGGTAATTGCAGAACAGCCATGAGAATCACGCAAGTCTCAGAATGAATCAGCCCAATTGAGGGTCCATTTAAACACTACAGACAGACACTGGAAATGGAACACAAGCTTTGCTTTACAGATGGGGAAATTCAAGCAGATCTTGGCCTTTCATACCACCTCCAGTGTTACACTAGCAAGATGACTGTATCTTCACAGCCAGAGTCAAGAAGACTCAGCAACTTAGTGCTGAGAGAACAGCTTTCTGTAAATTGGGTGTCCTGGTGGACGACTGGTTGGCCATGAGCCAGCAGTGTGCCCTTGTGGTTTTTTGGCCCATTGGCCTTTTTAGGCCAATGGCATTCTGGGGTGCATTAAAAAGAGCATGGCCAGCATTTCAAGGGAGGTGATCCTCCCACTCTACTCTGCCGTGGTGAGGCCTCATCTGGAGCACTGCATCCAGTTCTGGGCTCCCCAGTACAAAAAGACAGGGATCTCTTGGAAAGAGTCCAGCAGAGGGCCACGAAGATGGTGAAGGGCCTGGAGCATCTCTCCTATGAAGAAAGGCTGAGTGATCTGGGTCTGTTCAGCCTTGAGAAAGAAAGACTGAGAGGGTACCTGATCCAGGTTTATAAATATCTAAGGTGTGAGGGGCAGAGTGGCGAGGCCGGACTCTTTTCTGCAGTGTGTGAGACAGGACAAGGGGAAACGGCCGGAAACTGCAGCATAGGAAGTTCTGTACAAATGTGCGCAAGAACTTCTTTACAGTGAGGTGACGGAGCACTGGAACAGGCTGCCAGGGAGGTGGTGGAGTCTACTTCTCTGGAGATGTTCAAGACCTGCCTGGATGCCGACCTGTGCAACCTGCTGTAGGGAACCTGCTTTGGCAGGGGGTTGGACTCGATGATGTCTGGAGGTCCCTTCCAAACCCTACGATTCTGTCAAATGAATTTCCCTAAGCAGTAAAGAAATGGAATGCTGCTAACTGGCCTGTAAATTAGGGCATTCTAGGTGCATTAACCTTGGGTCAATACACAACTGTGACCATTCACAAAGAATGGTATTTCAGATCCCGAGTAAAGTGACCAACAGCACAAATAGCTTTGTGATTTTGTGATTCTGGTGACTCCTGGAATTGTAGTTGGCTGAGAGCACTAGCACCTTGATAGCTTTTTCCAAACAAAGCTTTTCCAAATCATACAAATGAAGGTCACACAGAACATACTTTTATCGAGTAGGCACATTTTTCCAGGTAAGAAAGTTCATTAAAATAAACTCCAAAAATCCAGCTCGCCATACATACCGCGATGAAACAGCTGATCAGCCCGCCTCTTTTATGCACTTTCAGCAAATCTTCAAACAGCTTCATCTGCTCTGAAATAGTCTCACTGTATTTTCCCTGTACCAAATCAATAGATTCTGCCACTGCTCCAGTAAAATCCACTATTGCATCTGCAGCACTACCTCCATCCAGGGCTTCATAAGATCCAGCCAACCTTGAGGTAACATAGAACATTTAAATTCATTTTATTCTGTGCTTTTAGAAGTGCTCTACTTTGGATGGATTTAGATAATGTATTTGTGGCTCACCAGGGAAAACAAAACTAAGCAAAACCGCAAATTGCAGATAAACCCTTGCTAAGAAAGGAGTGGAAAGGTCTTTAAGGCTTTGGGCCGCTAAAGTAAAGTGCATTGAAATTTTCAACCTCTTAGGTTCTCTACTGAGAGCAAGCCTAAAATCCTTGAAAGTATGATAAATCTGAGAGAGAAAATAAGCAGATAGAAGGGACAGCGCTGAGGTCTAAAAGGACAATGAACTGGCTCATACTTTGCATAAGCTTTCTCCAATAATGCGCTCCAGAATTCATTTTCCACATTGGAATGGCAGTAGATCAATGTCCCATCAATTGTTGGCAGCAGATCATCAATAACCACCTCTGTCCATATTCCAAAGCACCAGAAACGGAAACGGAAAATTCCAGCATATTTCTCTGGTGTTTTAGGGTCCCATTCTTGTTCTTGAAAGTCTGGAATCACCTAAGAAACAACGTGAGGGAAAGTTCACTAAATACGTTAAGATTTATTCAGAGAGCTGAGTGCCCTGACACATGCACTGGGCTGGTATTCAGTTTCATCAGCAGCTGACCTCAAACAGATGAAGCAGTGAAAAAGATGGTTAATTTTGTGCAAAGATAGCCTATCTTAAAGACACCATTAGAAAAGTAATATTTGAAGGGATCTGCAGAGAACGACCATTGCTTTGCTGCATCTTTTCTTCGGTGTTCAATTTAACCAGGCGGTTGGGAGGTCTCATAACTGAAAAAAATGAACTTCTAATGAAAGGGAGGATTTGAATGCACCAACATTCACCATTCATCCAAGTCATATTAGCCCCTTCATGCAGCAAGTACACTGGTCACCTACCTGCTGCCAGAGCGCCTTCCTCAGTGCCAAACAGGAGCATGCAGCCACAAACCAGCAGTTCCCCAAGCTGCCTTGGTGCAAGTCGTGAGAGCTGATTCCATTTACAAACAGATAAGGGTCTTGACAGAGATCCTAACAATACAAATCAGAGATTACTGGGGATGATCACAGCTATCCCTCTCCACACGTGTTCAACACATTCACATGTGCTGTTCTCCCTGTCAAAACACCAAGTTTCTGTAACAGGAAACTCAAAAGCATCCTGACACAGAGTACATTTACAAGTCAGGGTATATGGGATTATTATACTTTTAATGTGTAGACTATATAGGCTTATCTAAAGGTCAGAATTCAGCCAGTTGCTTTTGGGCTTTTTTTTTTTTTTTTTTTTTTGGCCAGAGTTCCTATTTCTTCTCTCAGTTGCAGTGATCTTTGAGGACTAGAATGCATTTAGTATTTATTAGAGTTATTTGACATTAGGGCAAGCTGATGAGCAGCTGAAAATAAGTGAAAGGAGAAGGAGAAAGCATTACAGAGAAAGGTTCTGACAAAAACAAAAACAAAAAAAAAAATCAAAGAAAGTAGCTGGAAATGATGCTGCTGACACCAGGAAAGCTTATGTTCTGTCATTGCTAGTTCCTTGGCTGCCATCCTGGAAACCCTCCTCTGCAGGCAGCATGAGCTGCTGCAGTGACGCCTCCACCCAGCACTGAAAAACATAGAAAATACATCTTTGAAACGTACCCTACAGTCTCTGGGTCTCCTTTCTCTCGTTGATTTGGCTCTTATTTGAACCACTTTGCCTCCTCTCCTATTGCTTTCCTGTCTCCATTTCTATTTATGTGCAGATTCTCACCAAAGCATAGTTGATTCCTGCTGTAATGTCTCCCCGCTCCTCCATAGCTTTCCCTTTCCTGTGTCTTTCTCAAGGGAGCAATGATGGCCTCCAGACCAAGGCACCAGAAGGAACACTTCTAAGTATCATCAAACAGGAAAGCTACAAGGGTGCGTTTTGCAGTAATTCTGTCTTGATTACTCTTGGTAGAAGGGGTTCTTCTAAACTGATACACATAAGGCCTCACAGTTTCAGATTAGGCCAAGTAAAACTTCAAAAACCAGCTAATCTTAACATCCCATAATTGACACAGAGCCAGCTCTAAGATTGCTCATGATGCTCTCCATCTGAATCACTGCTTTTCCTGATCACTTAAGAAGATGGAAGAGCAGTAAGAAATTCTGTTCTTTCGCAGTATAAGAATAACCCTAAATTTCAACACTGTTGGAAGGAAATTATCTCATACTTTGGCATTAGAAATGCAGAAAAAATAACTCATCTCACCTCAATACTGTAGAAGACTCCACAATTACTGTAGTCTCTCCAGTTTGTTACTAGCAGTAGAATAAGGAGCTGTGCTCTTCACCTGTTGAGGTCTCACGGTCCTTTGATAATTACAGACATTGCATCCCAAAATATAAGGCATGTCAAAATTTCTCAGCTTTCCCTTTGATGGGACTGTGACAAAACAATGGCATCTGAACTTATTTTTTGAGAACAAAAGGAATATCACTGCTGAGCTGAAAGCCTGTTTTCCTGAAGAGGTTTAGCAGATGGCAGCCTGTGGTGGCTCACTGTACACAGTGCATGGAGCTGATGCTGTTTTCTCTAAGAATAAGTGCCTGTGTTTTTGGGGGTTTTTTTTCTGCATGAGGCATTTCTTATTAAATAACAGTTGGTAAAAATTTTAAATGCCTCTTGGGAAACAACGGACTGATCATTACATGGCATTGTTGTCTGCCAGTAGGTCTTATATGTAGTTTCAGTCAGAGACAGCTTCAAAGCTTATTAACAAATCTTGCTAAAAAATTTGAATAACAAAATCGTGAGTGTGATGAAATCTGACCATGTACAGAAAGGACAGGTTTGTTCACCTGCCTTGATGCTGATATGGAATGGTAATTTCAGCTGATGCAGAGAAACAGTTTCCTGCTGCAGAGGTTGGTATCTGTTGACAGTTGGCCTTCACTTCATGGCGGGAGTAAAAATTTCAAATTCATCATGGGTAGAGTCAAGTTTTATATCCAGTTCATATTTATGTCTTGTAATGATGATTTCTAGTTTGTTTTTCCTTTCAAAATGTTATTTTATTATAATAAACAAGGGATAAATTGATCCCTCCAGGATTAAAGTTGCTCAAACTTTGCTTTCAATATAGGAAGCCAAAGTTTTCATCAGTTTTGCAAGAAATTAAGCACTACCATGTATTACAAATACCTTCTTTGGTTTTCTTTGCCAAAAATAACCACATTAAACTATCTCTTTTTCTAATGGAAATACGCCTCATATCTTACATAGTCCTCAGATTAAAAACAGAGAGCAGTAAGCATTGAATGCCAGACATATGGGTGAGATTAGCATGTGCAGACCACTGCAGACCAAAGCAAACACGGAACAGCAGAACTCAGAGGCAGCACCTCACCATTTCCAGCACACTCCTTACATTCTACAGGATCCTGCTTGGTAAAGACATGATTCTGAAACTGCATAGAAGACCTGGACATCTGAGACTAACACGTGAAAGAAAATGACATTTGCTTCAGCTTCTCCTGGCATTAATCACATATGTTACACTAGCTTCTGTGATAGCTGTCACGGTGTGACTTAGGTGAGATGCACAGTAACAGTCAGCTGCCAGCTGAATGCTACCAACGTTTATGCAACGTTGCACATTCTAAAGAGTACTTTTGAGACAGAATTAGCTCTCTAAGCCACAATTCCCTCAACAAAGTAAGAAATATGGTACTTAACTATATTGCTCTCCTCTCTTAGTGAGGATCTTAGAGTACTTTTAGTTGCTCCAAGCAACCAGACTTTCATCTATATACAAAAAAAAAAAAAAATTATGCATATCAATTCCAGTTTTTGTTGCACCATATGGGCTCCAACTATCCAACATCTAGCACTGCGCAGCTTATATCACTGGTGAAATGTGGCAGCCAAGTCCAGATATAGAACACCAAACAAGGCCTTGCAGTACACGTAGCTCCTGCTTACTAAAAATGGGGTGCCATTTTTTCTGTCTTTTTCACCTCAGTTTCACATATTTGGGCTGTTTTCATACTGATCCATCCTCTGATCTTTTCCTATGAATTTGCTGCCTAGGTCGTTCCTTCTCCCTAACTTAGCCATGAAGTTACTTAACATCAAAGCATTGTACTTGCTTGCATTAATGAAGTGATGCTGAATTTCATTCTGTTTTCTCACACTATTTTACCAAGACATCAAGATAAGTTTACATTCCAAATCCTGTTGACAGGACAGTGAATCTAGACCAGTCTGTGTCCTATAGCAGTCCAGTGCCTGGACTGCTACTCAAACAGTAATGAGCATACTGAGCAGTACCAGAACAAGTGAAATCTATGCAGAACCAACATCAGCTTGGGAATGATAAACTGAGGTCTGGAATTTCACTAAAGCACAAATGTTTGGATTGCAGTACAAGCATGAAAGATGACAACTTTGCCATAATATATCTTTACGAAAATTCAAAACAGTGTCAGCTGTAGGAGACAATGCACTTCCACTTCACCAGATCTATGGAATGGTTTGAAGTGCAGGAGAAAACTGAATAACTTCATGCATTAAATTCAATTCACTGTGGCTACTTGGAATTTTCAGGAATCCAGATAAAGGAAAAAGTTACCCTTAGCTCTGATGAAGCATCTGTTGGCATAAGTCCATGAACTAACTAAATGAGCCATACTGATTATAAACATAGAGAAGGACATTCAGAGGGTTAATTAATTCACTGCGTATCTTTACAGACAATAACCGAAAGTGCACTGTAAAGCATTACAAAGTCTCCTACAGATGAGAAAAGGGAAAGATCATTTTTTAATGGATTAGGGACTGTGAATTGTCTCAGACAAAAAAAAAAATTGGTGAAAGGGAAGAAGAAAAAAGCAGTTACAGTGTTTGCAGATAAGATTTTCAAAGGATTCTGTAGCATTTAGAGCTGACTTTTTTCAGGACCATTTAAAAAATTGCTCCTAACATAATAAAAATAATCCAACATTATTTATACAGAGACAGGATCTTTCCTTGATGCTAACACTCTGATCTGCTTGAGCCTGGTAGACCATTGCCTTCATTTTTTTTAAAAGCAGTTTGATTTATGTCAGAAACGATAATCTTTCCCATTTTCTTTTCTCCTGTCCTCCTATCATACCAAACCAGCTCTTGCAAAGAGTGAGTTTTGTGTAGGAAAGTAAGGGAAAAGAAGTGTGAAGGGCAATCCTTCCGGAATATGGAGGCACAAATTCATCTCATCTACTGCTAACTATGAACTAGCCACACCTAAATGAGGATAGCACAGAGGACACTTATTTTGAAGCTACGTATCTTTAGAGGTAGAAGAGATTGTCTATCTAATAATAAATCCCAGATGTGCTGGGATGTTTATAGAAATCCCTTGCCAAGGCAATAGCAGTTAGCCCTAGAAAGAAAAATAATTGAGTTCAACTGTCCTACATATTTCAACATACACAAAAAGCCTTTTGCAACCTTGTTTTGTCTGAGAAGACTGTTCAGGGAATGAAAAAAGAGAATTCTTGAGTTACAGTCATGCACTGTGGTACAGCTCTACCCTCTTAGAGGACAGCTCTCAGAGACACTTCCTTCAAAAGGAAACAGATCAGGAATGACTTCAACTGAAATAACCCTTACAGAGTCTGGAAGTAGCTGTTACAATCTGTCCCATTACAGCTTGTAAATCTACAAAATGCAGATTTAGTCCTTCAGTTTCTGTCTGTACAGACTGAGCTCACGCTGCATAACTCTTCTGACAACTTCATGCTCATCCTCCAGCAACATCTGTTCCTGAAAGCAAGATAATGCCAATACAGCTTAAAAAGAGAAATCCACCAATACACAGGCAAGGGAAACTATACCAGTTTGCTCCAGCCACATGTAAAATATGTTATTTTGGGATTGGGAAATAGTTCTTCTCAACACTCCCTCCTCTTCAATAAATCTTGTTATAAAACTAAATGCATTACAAACATTTTTATAGCATTCTTCTTCTCCACATTCAATTTAGTTGTGACTAATACTCAGTAAAGGCCACAAGTTTCAG